ATTATTAAGTATATTCAGAATCACCATTACTATATTTATTCATGTAAATTAATTTGTTAATAACAATATATTTTTATTTAGGCTTTATTATTTATTTATTTAAAGGTAGTTTAAGGATACTGGCTGCAACTAGATATATCCGTGCATTTATATTTATCCCTTGCCAGGTTAAAGCTGTATCCCTCTGAACACAAGGATAAAGGTCAGACCTACTCGGAAATCGTCCGCATATGGTGGACTTCTTTTTGGTGGCACAACGAATGAGTAAAAATAAAATTTAATTGGCTCGAGCCGGCTAAGCCGTTTAAATTTTCTTAGCCGTGTAAGCCAGTAATTTTCTTAGCGGCTAATGTCACTAATTTTATCTATGCTGGTTTTCAATACTTAGATATTAAAGCTATTTTGAGATTTTATTTTAAGAAATTACCAATTATACAGAAATATCAACATTTTTTTTTGAAGCATCTAATCTTGGTGCAATGAAAGTCCAAGAAGTTGTTAATGGACATTCTACCAAATTCAATTTATTGAAAACTAAGAAAGCTGATATTAAAGCTTTATCTATTTTAGTGTTAACGCATCCTCCTTTGGATATCTTTATCATAATAATTGCCCATTTGTGAAAGATGAATTTAAATATATTACTTGTTCAAAGTCAATTTACAATAAAAATATGTTATAAAGGTATGAATCAAAATAATATCAATTCTCTCTATTCTTTAGTCAAACAAAATTCTCAAGAGAGGGAAGGAAAACTAAAAGTTATTTGTGATTGGGATGAGTGTTTATTTTCTTTTTGAGCAGTTTAATATAAATTTTCAAATGAAGGTGCTTGTTTACTTGATTGAAAAAAGCTAACATCAAATTTGTAAAGATGAACTATTTTTGTTGTATATAGCGCCTAAAAATTCATTGACTGATTTTATTGAAAAAATCCTCGTTTCTTTTAAAAATCAATTTCAATACTTTGATTTGCAGTTATTTGCTTCCAGAATTAGAGCTCCTAACAGGCCAGTTTAGGTCGGGTATATGTAGTGATTACCTGTCCTGGTCCGAGTTTCTTTTGTCGCTGACCTGACAGACCATCATATATATGGAAAAAATTTTTTTGTGTATATACATAATTGATAAAATATTAAACATGAACATAGCATGATTTTTGCGCATTCACGTTTATAATTTTGCTAAAAAAAAATCAAGTAAACACAACACATGTACTAAGTAAAAGTTGCTCTATTAATCCAAACTAAATTCCATGTGTATGTTTTAGGCATGAATAATAGGTACAGTTTGAATGCGATGTGATTTTGTTGATTTATGCTTTTTTGGCTTCGTCTCTAAAAACAAGTAAACACAATTTGTACACCAAGTAAAAGTTGCAATTAGGTATTTCAAGCTCTGCGACGTCAATTTTACGACTTCATACATTTGACAAAATTTGGGAAAGATGGTTGAGGCTCGATGAATTTAATGTACAATGATGAATTCAGGGAATCGATTAATATTTCACACATTATTTATTTTATGATGATGATTTTATTATTTTTGATGTTTACATGTTAGAAGAAAAATTTTTCCTTTTTACCATGTGAAAATCCAAGAGAGTTGTTATAAGTAAAGCTTCAAACAAAATTCGAACTTTTTTATATGCAAATTGAATGTTGTTTTGGCATACATATATAGGGTTCCTAACTGTAATTCTAACTCATATTTGAATATTAGTAAACCAAAATTACGAATTTCAAATACTCTTAATTATTTTGGATACTCGTAATTATTTTTGGATGCTCATTATTTCAGATATTTGTATAAATTCTAACAAACTATTATTGTTTTTTAATTGATAAAGTTTCTTTTTGGACATCATCAATTTGATTGTTCATATCAAAAAATTATTAATAAATTATACAATTTTTATCAGGCGTAAGAATATTATGAAATTTTAAAAATGATTTATACAATTGAAGTATTAGGAAAAAATTTTCCGCAAATTCCATTTGGGTTTTGAAAGAATTACTTTTAAATGGAAAATGTTTTCTGAACAAATATTTTAATTGTTGTAAAAATATATGTTATCTTTATTATCTTTGAAAAATATTTATTATATTGTAGGATAAGTTACAAATAAGTTAGTAATCATTCATGAATTGTTACAATATTATCATAACAAAATAATAACAAGTAACCAAAATAATTTTACGAGTATCCGTAATAATTACGAATTTGATTTTCGAATACACATCTAAACTCGATAAGTCGGACGCAGCAATCAATTGTTTAAAGTACTTTATAATATAAATAAATGTCCGACTTATCGAGTTTAGATGTTTATTCGTAAAAAATTTGAACACTATACATATTAATATTAATATATAATTTGAGCGCGATGCGTTTTACTAGAGATGTGCCGCGCATAGTGTGTGACGCATAAGGGTTATTTTTTATAGACGTTTATTTATTATATATTAATAAATATTTCTAAAAAATTTATATACTTTCTTATTATTATATGCGCATTTATGATATTTCCCTTCCTATGATATACGTATACATTATGTACTAAAAAAAAATCCGGGTTGCTATAAATGGCACACCTCTAGTTTTTAATATTGTCTACTAATTTAAAATTGTTAAAATTAAAATTTATATATTTTAATCGCAGATAATAAAGGTAATCGCATCATTTAAAAATTCGTCATTTTCACGCTTTGCAAACTTCATGCCGATAAAAAACATACCTCGTGTATCAAACCAAAGTTGTTCTACAAGTTAAAATTGACTCGTCCGTATAGATTTTAAATGTACCTCGAACTTTGTCGATTTTACACGATTTACACACCGTAAACATTTTAAAAAAAACAGTATGATACTCAATGTAATATACTAAGTTGTTCTATCCATCTTTAAACTTTTAAAAATGTAATATATATATATATATATATATAATTATTGGAGATATACTTTGATCTGAATTTTCGTGCAATTGTGAATTTTTAAATACTATGTATATATGATAGATGTCTAATACAAAAAATATATAAAACAACCAGTAAAAACTACTATTTTTGTTTTTAAATATATAATTAATAAATATCCAAAGAGCCATGCAAGACAGATTCACAAATTTGGAAGCATGAATCATCACTTGTTGCAACTGAAAGAAAAATAAATTAGCCAGAATTATCTTTATTAAATTAATTCTTTAAAAATTATGAGCATTACATAAATGAAATGAATAAATAATAACATGGATGGGATCTGCAGAGAGTAAAAAAACAGCTCCTACGATGAACATATAAATCAAGGAAATGAGGGGAAAATAAGTCGCAACTCTAACGTTGATGATGATATCATTGCATCACCTTCCAGAAAATTGCCGGTGTTAGCATTAGAAAGAAGAGCTCGAAACGAACAAGAAAATTTATATTGGAGCCAAATTTTGCAAATCAATATAAGTGGATTCACTGATCATCCATCACCGTACATTGTTCTAATTTTTTTTTATAATTAATAATGATAATAACCATAGAAAAAAGACACACTTTTAATTGTGATCCTGGGAAACGTTAGAAAATCTGACATTGTATACATTCAACCAATGACGACTTAAAATAGTTGTTCGAGAAAATTCTATTTGTATTTGGCGTATATTGTACATTGTCTACTACAATTCACTATTTTTCAATCACTATTAACAAATAACTCCTATTGCAATTATTTTTATTTATTGTTGTTTACGTTATACTAAAGTCATAATAAATAACATAATTCATCTTCTGATACCAGCTATACATCATCATGAATTAAAAATGTTAAAACCATCATCTTTAAACAATTATTTTTCTCTCTAATTTAATTATATTACTTGCTAATTATTACTTGTTGGTAAAACAAGAATTTTTAAATAGTAACAAATCATCAAATCACAATTAAAATAACAATAATATTTTACAAATATTGTGTGTTTATATAAAAAACGTATATAAATAAATAAAATATTATAATTATCATTCATTCATTATATTTATCTTTCTCCAAATAAAATTTATCGTAAAAATTTTTTTTCGATATTTCACATTTCTCTATCAACACACATTCCTTTAAAGTAAAACTATTTTTTTTAAATTAATTAAAATTTTCCCTTGCAGCTTTAACAAACTCCTTGTTTTTTTAAATAAATAAATAAATATAAATATAATTATGAATATATTAGCTGCCGTTGCTGAAACGTTCTTGATTTCAAATAATAATAATAATAATAGTAATAATAATAATAATAGTTCTTCTGCAGCAGATAATTTTAATAGCTTTCAAAAACGTCCGGTAAGTGTCATCCGTCAAAAGTAATAAATAAATGTTTTTTTTGTGGACAAAATTTACTATTTATATTTTATTTTTTCATGTTATTTTATTATTATTAATATTAATAATAATATCACATTATGCTTTATAGCCTTACTATATAGCTAGTTTGTTTTATTTAGACTAAAGATTAAACTTTTCTAATTTAATCAACTAGACTACTACTTTTTTACTTTTTTTTCATAAATAACAATAATAATTATTATAATTAAACTTTATCCAACAAACTTTATTGCATATACATACACATAATTTAATACGTAATAACAGACACATAAATATATAAATATATTTAAATTAATATATTTTAATAACTCTCCTTTTTTTTTTCTCTCTCTCTCTTTTCCCCCTCCTCTAATCATTTTTCTTCTACTTTTCTGTATTAAATATTAATTAAATAAAATAATAATATAAATTATTAAAATACAACAACAACACATTTAATAATTCACACACTAATCCGTAAATATCTCACAATACATCTTTCAAAAAAAATAATTTAAAATATCTTAACCTTTCTTGATTCATCATCATTAATATATATTAATTGTTTTATATGATTTATCTCTTTTTTTATTTAATAATATAATAATAATAATAATAATATAAATAATAATAATCAATCAATTAACAACTATTTATTTATTTATTTGGTTGTTTTAGAGACAACGTAAAAGATCAAATAGTTCAAGCAACATAGTGGAAAATACAAACATAAAAGCAATAAGATATCCTAGAAGAGATGATAAACCATTTTTTCCTCAACAACAACAATTAAAATCTATTTATAGTAATAGTAATAACAATAATAATAATAACAATAATAGTAATAATAAGAAGGAAGTATCAATACCAAGACCACCAAGATTAGCCTTTGACACATCATTATCAAATTCTAATTATATTCCAAGAATGTCAATGACTCCTCCTTCAAAACAAGAATATAAACATCATAATCATCATAATATTTTTTATCATCATAATGCCTACCATGGTAATAATTCAAAGGTTATCAAAAATCGAAATGAAAATTTGGAGAAAAGGACAAATATGACAAATTATTATTATGAAGATGACGATGATTATTATTATAGTGACGAAAATTACTGTCATTATGATGACGAAGGAAGCGTTATCAGTGAAGCATCTTTATCATGTTGTTCATCTTTTTTAGATGATGACGACATTTACAATTATCGCAGTTATCATAATAATTATAATGTTCATAGTAACTGTCATAATCACACTAATAATAACAACGATGATAATATAATAATAAGGAATAATTTCAAAAACAAAAAATCCTCTTTGCTAAAAAAAGAATTTTACATGCTAAAAAAAGAAATCGATACAGTAAAAAACAGTTTGGCCTCGTTACAAAAAGATCATAAAGAAATGTTAAAAGAAAAGAAGCAACTTGAGAAAGAATACGAGGAAACAAAAAATGAAGTTACTAAAACTTTGGAATTAAACTCAAAAGATATAAAAACATACAATGATTTATTAAATTCTAAAATGGAAAAACTTAATTTGGAATCGTCAATCGCTGCTTCTTCATATGAAAAATCTATTGTTTCATCAGAAACATCTTCAATATCTGACGAATGTAGTAACAATAGTACTAGTAGTAGAAATAATAGTATTAGTAGTAGTGAAATGCCACCCGAGTATAAGTTGATTATGAATACTTGTGTTAAACAAGCGGAAGAACTGGAATTGTTTCGGTCGGAAACAGAAAAAAATAAAAAAGATTTTATGGCATTGATAAATGTTAAAGAAAGCATTGAACTTTTGTTAGAAGAGAAAGAAAAAGAATATTTAGAAAAAATAAGAGAGTGTGAAGCTGTAACTGGGGGACAAACTGGTATGATAAATTCGATGGAATTTTTATTGAAAGATTTGGAGGGTAAAATGGATTGTTTAATCAATGAAAATCAAAGACGTAAAAATTCTTTAATGAAAGATCGTCAAGAAGATCAACATAAAGATCGTCAACACAAAGATCAAAAAAAAAATATCAATCAAAATAAAAATATTAATATTAAATCACATCATCATAACAAATCATCAATAAGCACCCTTGTGAATCCTGATAATAATGATCTTGCTGCCAATATGAATGGGATAAAAAAAGGTCACAATTTAAATAACCATTCAATTGACTCTATAATTTTACAAAAATCTAAATCAAGAGAAAGTGATTATAATTCTGATGAATTCGGCCCTTCTGATCTAATACCTTTTCGCTGTCTGTCACCACCTCAGGTATTTATTTATTTAATTATATTTATGCATGCGTGCGATTACGTTCGCATTTCACACATTCGTTAACAATATTTATATTTACATAAAATAGTCTCGTAGGCAATCTTATACAAATCCAATATCATTATTCACAGACGAAGAAAGAGTTAAACATCAATCACGTTTTAGTATGTATATATATATTTATTTATTTATTTATTTATTTATTTATTTATTTATTTATATTTATCTATATGTTATATGATTATTATTATCGTTATTATGACTACTATGAATATTTTATCAATTTAATTTTTTTTGTTAAATTTATAGGTTTAGCAAAACGTTGGGTTGAGGATGATGAAGTGTCAACGTGTCAACAACCAGGTTGTGATGTTAATTTTAATTTGTGGAATAGAAGACATCATTGCAGAAGGTAATTAATATTATATATATGCATACACACACATAATAAAAAAGCAATATAACATGTATTGATAATTTTTTTAAAAACTTTATAATAAAAAACAGATGTGGATATATCTTTTGTAATACTCATAGTGCATACTCGATGTTATTATTTCCTGATGGCAGTGAAGATTGGGGTGGTGTATGGTCAAGAGTTTGTGGAAAATGTTTTAAAAACACTTGAATGAAAAATTAATCAATATTCATATATATATATATACACATATCATTATTCATATAATTTGTATTATTTTAGTATGGAAAAATTTGTAAATTTTTTTTTTAATATTCCAAAAAATCAAAAAAAGTACTAAATAAATAATATATTAATATTAATAATAGAATTGGGACCTTTTTTTTTTGGTACCCATGCCTGTCCCAAAAATTGAAAAAAAAATTTGACTAGTACAACAAACAATCTTTTTTAAAACAGCTCATTATTTTCATAATATAGACAAGCTTCATTCTTAAACCAAAGTAAAACTACACCATTAAAGCTTTCTAATGAATATTTTTTAATATATCGAAGGGATCTCTTTATGTAAAGCAATGTCATTCAAAAATGACATAATATTTATACTTTAAAGAAAGATTTTCTTTTCAATTCTGCTGTAATGTATTGAAAATTAGTGAGAGGTTGTAAAATAATTTAATCTTTCATATGGGTATCACTTTGTGTGAGGTTGTATTGTTGAAGTTTAGGGAAAATGGCAAAAGACCTGAAAGAAACATAATAAATGCATAAAATTGCAGGAGATCATCGATCTTATTATCAAAAAATAGAAAAAAAAAAAACTTAATATTAAGGTTTTCGTCCACATTTATTAATAACCACCCCCGAAAATTTTTTAGGTGTATGAATATATTATGAAGGATCTATTTTTAAAATTTGGTGGATAGCCGCACAAAATGGAAGTTTTGAAGTCTTTAGAATTTCAATGCTGATCACTAAAACTTTATACGGGACATACTGTAACAAAACCAGACAAAGTGAACATTTGATTACCAAGAATTTTGGATCAAAATTTAATCGCCAATGCGTTGTAACAGCTTTTAATTGTTGTAATATTAATATACATATTAAAAGAAAGTCATATGCATAATTTACATAGTTTAGAATTAAATATTTATAAATCCAAATTATTTAATCATTTTCTGCCCAATTGTTAATATTAAGTAACTTCTACAATTGTAGTTTTTCTTCTTTGAATTAATTTTGTTATTTCACTATTCCAACAAATCTTTGATTCATAAATTTAAATTTTCAACACAAGTCTAATCATGAGAGATGATGGTTAGGAAAAGTCTATTAAAAATAATTTACATAGTAAATTACTAACCCTAAAATGACAATAATTTATGTATCACATTGTTAATAAATATAGTTGTATGAATTGCTGCTTTCATTGACCAAATAAATGCCATCACAATAGTGCATTATATAAAAAAGAAACCCTTTTCCAATAAAGAACAAATATTACATACTATCCACCAAAATCACAAACATTTCAAATTGTTCTCTTGTTCTTTCCTTATCTACAACACCTTCATCATGTAAAAATTTTTCAAGGTGACGAAATCCTAAACCAGCAGGAAGACATTTTAACTCTACATTTTTACCTAATATTAATGATTAATCTGTAAATATTTTTTTTAGGCTTTTGTACTTGATTTTTCTGATTAAGCATTTTTGCTCTATCTTTCAATAATTTATTGTTATCCTTTTTTATTGCATTAGAAACAACCTCAAGTATCCCAATATTAAAATATATTCCATTTACAGTCAAGCCTCATTTCAACGAATCTATGGGGATGGTTATTAAAATTCGTTGAAACAAAAACAAAATTTAAACTATTTCAGTAATGATCGACGCATAAAAAAAATTTTATTTATTTGAAATAACTAGTAATACATTTTTGTTTTGATTTTTAACATTATATAATGTCACTTTTCCTTTTAATGATTTAAAAGCTTTTAATTCATTATAATATATTTCTAAATTGTTGTTCAAGAAAATTATAAGCAGTTTCAAAAGCATTGACTGCATCCTTTATTGTAATATTGGGAATATTTGTGTCATGTTCAACTTGTGTAAGATAATTAATAACCACTCACTCAGTTACCATTTCACTATTAGTTAACTTATCACCAATTGATATATATTCCTTTGCAGTCAATGGTGAATTGAAAGAAAAATTCATTTGTTAAATTTTCAAGATCACTTTCTAAATTTAGTCACATCCTCAATCTCTACTCTACATTGTCTGACAATGGAAGAATACCAGTCTTCTCATTATTTAGTAAAGTGAATTTTATTTTGTTTGATTAAATAATGTGATTAAAAATTTTAGATAAGTATTATTATTATTATTTAGTAAATTAGTTTTTTTTAATAATAATGCGGATTTTTTATTAATATTTATATTTAGTGTAAAACTATTATTTTTTAATTTGGAAAATCATATATACTGCATATCGCGTGAATTCGTTGTAACGCGGTTAATACTTATACAAAAATCCCACCAAAAAAATTCGTTGTCGTTGTAACACGATATATATTAACATTAATATATAAAATTCGTTGAAACAAAAATTTTTAATTGATAAAAAAAAGGGGAACCAGACCAAACTTCGTTGAAACGAAGCTTGACTGTACATAATTATTTATGTATGGACCCCTGTTTTTTTTTGTTGATGCGATTGCAGGGACGATGAATTTCTGCGGCGAAAAAATCAAAATCTGCCGGCGGTCATACCAAAAATCTGCTTACTTCTGCGGCGTTTAAAAACATTATTTCTGTAAAGTTTTGCCTATTTTATTTGCAATTCTGCTTAATTCTTCCATAAATCTTATTTTATTTAATAAAAAAATAAAAAACCCCCTCCAATTAATAAATTAGAGTTATTATACATCATATTTAAAGTTTTTAAAGAAGTTTCTGAAAGATTTTGTCTATTGCTATTTAAAATATTGTTATATATTGAGAAACTAGATATGGGCAACCATATGTATTCCAGAGCAATTTCAGAAAGAATTGGCAATTGATCTTGAATATTTATCCAATATTCATTTAAATCTATTTCAATTAAATCATCTATTTGTATTCCACAATAATTGCCCATTCATTTAATAATTCATCAGAAGGATTTCCTAATTCTTTGATTGATCTATATTATTTTAAAATTAGACAGCAAATTATTTCTCTACTGATTTTCTTTTCTTTCTGGGTTCTTAGTGTTTATTATTTTTCTTTCTTCTTGGTAAATTTCATAGGTAATCCTTTCTTTATCTAAATATGTTTGCAAGGATTTAGTATCTGCTAATCTAAAAATATAAGGTGCAATTTTTTCACCTTGTTCCTTCTTCAAAATACTTCTAATGGTACTGTAATTTTTGGGTTCCATAATAGATCTGATGTAAATCAGCTTCATATTAATTAATAATTTTTGCCTAGACAAATATCATGATCACATTACATTAGTAATGCAATTGAATACAATTATGATGTTAAAAACAATATTGATTCCTGAAATTCTTTGGTAATACCAATGTTCACTTTATCTGGTTTTGTTGCAGCATGCCCCATATGGAATAAAATGAACATTGTATCACATAAAGATTTCAGGGATTAAAACTAATGATTGATACTCCACTGCTTTAGCATAATCATTATTTGTTGCTTCCCTTTATAATGTTAATATCAAGCTTTGCAATCCATTACAATTTATAACTTCTAATCTTTTATGTTCTTTTAAAGCTTGCTTTGGAGATCTCCAATTCGGAATAATCAAAATTTATAATATGTAATTTATCCAGCAACATATACTTGGCCTTCTGCAAACATGTTTCATCAGCATTTAATGTTATATGTTGTTATACATGGATGGTAATTGTTTTGCCAAAAACGTAATATACTGCAACGCACAAACGGGATACTCTAAATCGGAATCGGACCCTTTCGAAATTATTTTTTCTTGTGCAACATTATTACGATTATATACAATAAAATTTGGAGTTTGACCCCTGAATAAGATGATCCGATAATTTAAAAAATTGATCGATCATATTTTTGGTTTGTTTGTTCCAAAAAATAAATTTTAATTTATTGACATTAATAATGGAGAATACAATCCGACCAATTGACTATTGTCCAATTTATTCATCATTTTTTGGTTTTGCAGGAATTGCTTCAGCTGTAAGTTGTTTCAGTTTAAAAATGAATTTAAATCAAAAAAAGAAAGAGCAATTAACCAACTTATTTTTATATAAATTGTTGTTTTAGATGATCTTTAGTTGTGAGTACATAGTTTTTGCTTTTATAAAATAAACTATTACATTTATTTTGTTAATTAATATTAAATTAAAATAAATAACTTCGCCATTTACATGTATAAAGCAATGGGTGCAGCTTATGGCACTGCAAAATCTGGAATCGGTATTGCAGGAGCAGCAACTTTTAAACCAGAACTTATTATGAAGGTATATATATATTTTTTAAGTATATTAAATATTAATATAATTGTCAAATGAATTATGATAACTTACAAGTTTTTTTTCTAGACACTTTTACCAGTAATTATGTCAGGTATCCTTGCAGTTTATGGTCTTGTTATGGCAGTCTTAATAACTGGATCTTGTAAGTTGTTAATTTAATTAATTAATAAATTACAACAGCAACAATAAGAAAATAATATTATATAATTCGTATATATTTATATATTTTTATTTATTTATTTATTTATTTTAGTATCTCCCACTGAAGATTACTCTTTATTTTCGTAAGTAATTAAATATTACTTATGTTGATAGTAATGGTAATATTATAGTAATAATAATAGTCTCAATCTCAATCTTAATAATTTATAGTGGATTCATTCAGCTAGGATCTGGGTTGGCAGTAGGACTTACTGGATTAGCTGCAGGCTATTCAATAGGTGATGTTGGAGATGCTGTAAGTATTAAAAAAATGACAATGTCTGTTAATTAATTATATTTATAATGTAACATAATTCATTTATATATTTATGTATTTATATTCTTATTCCTAAAAGTGTGTAAGAGCACATGCACAACAACAAAAATTATTTGTAGGAATGATTTTAATATTAATTTTTGCTGAAGTACTGGGTCTTTATGGTTTAATTGTTGGTCTAATTTTAAATACTAAAGCAGATAATGATGTTTGTTCTTAATATATCATTTATTTATTTATTTATATTATATTTACTATTATTTATACTGTTATTACAAAAATATACAATGATGATTGATAAGAGAATTTAAGATTATCAATTCTAATTTAGATTCAATATCTTTAATGATTTAGAAAACAATAGTGATAATATTATGATACTTTTAATCTATGTACGTATGTGAACGTGCATTACGAATTAGAATTTGAATTTCGGTAATAAATTCTCTATATAATATTTTTTTATCAAGGGCAGGAGAATCACATGGTAAATTATATGGTCCAAAAATTTCTACTCTTTAAATAAGAATAGTGAGAAATGACTCTCACTAGAAATTTTTAATATGAAGCGAGTTGGAGGCCTGGATCGGGTTGAGAGGGTTTGGTCTTAACGTCAAATAACTACGGGTCGGGTTCGGGTTGTAATTATGACCTGAATTTTGACTGAATTTGACCTGATATCTAATAATTGGCAAAAAAAAAAACAATAAAATATACGAGTCATTCCTACACCCCCATGCAAGAATGTCATTTTCATATAAAAGTCATGTGAGAATCATTATCATGTGATTTTATAATACTGGACGATCTTTTTGGCATGCTTACATAGTTCTTTTTTTTTGAGAAGCACTTAAAGAGGTTCTTTTTGTTGAATAATGATGCAGAGTTTAAAACTACAATTTTAATAGTCATTCAAAAACATCTAAAAAGATTAAAAGATTATCTATTCATTGTCTAACTTTGATCAGAATGACTTTGATTGGTTCTCTTATTATACCAATAATAATAACGGGACGCCATCATGGAATGGAATTCTATGACAATAATAATAATAACAAGTCTTTTTCTAACTTTCCCGTTTTGGTGGTGTCATTATTTATATGCAATTCATTCCCGTGAATATCAATTTACTCACTTTATAACGATATACGCGCGCACACTTTTTCGAATCAGTAACTCATTTTATGTTTAAATAACCAAATATTATCCTTGTATTAACATCGTTTAATAAAAAAAATTTTTTTACAGGTTGAGATTTTTATAAATTTTTTAATGGCAGGTTGGATTCAGGTTGCAAATTATAAATTTGTACAGGTTGGGTATTTATTCAATTATGGTGACTCGTGCAGTTCTCTAAAACGAGGTACTTCTAAAGTAAATTTTAATTATTTTTTTTTCATGAAGAAGTAATTTTCATATTAATATTTTAAATGACTATAGAAAGTTCTATGACTTATAAAAATAAGCGTATCTAAATTTTATTATGTATAACGAGCCAGAAGGGAAAAGCTAAAACTTTTGATTTATTGTACTTTTGGATTTGGAGCGATGAAAATAATACAATTAATTTTTTTCTTCTTTTTCTTTTCTTTTTAGTGTATCTATCTAAATAGTTTATTAAAAGTTTAGTTGAGATGATAAAAATAGATATATAAAGAATGAAGCAATAAAATAATTGGATTCGTTGATTAATTGATTAAGCTCTATTTTAAAAAAAAAGAATTTTTAAAAATCCTTTTTTTGTTGTTATTAGTGATTATATATAAGTTTAGTTGGTATTTTTAGTAAAGTTAATTGACCCTTCAATTGGTTTTGTGGAAAGATACAAATTTTTTATCATGTTTTTAATATGTAACTTTCTGGAATCTATAATATTTCTCCTTTGATTTTTGGGAATCAAGTGATCCATTTGTAAAAAAAACCATTTCATTTCAATGGTCGTGATTTAGCTTCCTCTAACTAAGATATAGATACTGCCATTGGTATATTCGAGTAACGTTGGAAAATTACGTGTCCATTTTCCAACATCGTATTCGAGACCCAAATTACCATTATTTTTTGAAGAATGATCCGTGCCGTTATTATGTATCTTGATAATTCAATCTTTTTCGCAAGAAATTATTATAAAATAAAACACAAGATAAATAAGATAGCGTAGGTAATGTGTAGTGCGGTCTATAAATGAAATTCACAGTAATTGTGAATGTTTCTTTAATAAATAGAAATAGTAAATGGAACTTAACAGTAAATCGAGGAAAACAGCATTCTTTTCGATTATTATTAAAATATAATATATTAATTGATAAAAGTCTTTTTAGACCAAAATAATAAAAAAAGGTAAAAAATACTATATACACTTTCGAACAACTATTACTAGAGGAAGACACCGGAAGATTACAATAACTTGCTTTAACACTATTAGTTAGTATAAGATATAGGGGATACCCAGGAAATATATTAACACTTTATCAAGATTACTGAGTTGCAGTAGCAAGGACTCACCAATTCAGAATAGCATTAAACGAAGTACCTTAAAGTTCTCCGGAACCCATAACTGAAGAAGAAGACAACAATAGCAACTCAAGTGATAAACTAGAACCTAGTGAAATTTTGGAAGAATCAGCAAGTGACTCGTATGAAGAATCAACTCTAGGAATAGAAAATTTATTTAATATAAACCAAACAAATTAATCAACCGAGTTATCAACAACCAAACCTAATGCACAAGGTTTACAACAATTGGCAGCTGCAATAACCAAAGCGGTAAATGCAATACATCCACCACCAGCTGTACCACCAGAATTAAACAATGTTAAATATCCTGGATACTATGGAGGAGACCAAGACCCAATTACTTTGGCTAGAAGAAATGGAACAAGCTTTTGTGGTAAATAGAGTAGCCAATGATCGAAAGGTAGCTGTGGTAGTACCCAGACTAAAGGCAGAAGCTGCTACATGATAGAGTAAGTATAGACCGGCGGGATGATCATACCAATAATAACACTATAGCAGCAAGCTTTGTTCCGAAGTTTCAAAGGAAACATAGAACTAGAGCAATGGAAGAAGGGTGACAGCAGAATTAGAAAAACGTAAACAATTACCTGGAGAAACAGTGGATGCTTTCGCAGCACACATATATGAATTGTTCAGGAGAATTGAACATGGGAAATAACTACCCAGATAGAATCAAAGCGATAATGTTCACGGAAAGGTTACGATTAGAATTGTCCATGGCAGTAAATCCATTCTTACCTCATACTATCCAAGATGCAATCGAAAGAGCTAAGGCTTACGAGACGACATATTCTAGAGGAAAAACTTTGTCGGCATATTCAGTAGGACAATTCATGCCTAATATTCCAGGAATGAATCAAGTGATAAACCAACCACTACAAGGGTTAATTGATCAACTGGTTAACCTAATGAAAGTAAATAATAATAATGTTCAGCAAAGACCAAGGATCAAAAACGTAAACAACAAGGACACATAAAACCGAATTGTCAAGAAACAACAATAATGACGATAATCGGAACAATAATACTCTGCAACAATCAATGTTGGCGGATATGGTTGTAGGAAATACAGTGAAGTTAATGTTACCTGTAGAAACAAAGAAACAAAAGACTACCGAGGACCAAAATTTTGTATCCCAAAATATTGCACAAATAGGTCACCAAAATTTATTAATGTAAAATTCTCGTGTAACAAACTAATCAAAAGATTCCCTTTTCACAATAAAATGTCAACAGAAGAACGACCTAGAAGAATAGTTAGATATGGCAGCGTATGGAAATCTATTATAAATTGGCCTATCAATTACGGATCATATCTGTTACTAAAAGTTGAACATAAAATAAAACAAAATAATAGGTAAAGGAGTCAAAAACAAATGCTCAAGGGTTTTTTATTCGCCATCAATAAACTTTCACTAATATATCTATATTATGTACGTATATCTACCTACATGTGTATAAATCAATTGTCATATTGAATAATATTTATTAGTTTTATAGTGGGAGTTATATTGAATGTATTTACCATTTTCTTGAAATTTTTATATCACTTTGATGATCCAAATTATGATCCTTTAATCAGTACCAGATCTTATCTACGTGTTTGGGTATGTTAAATCATATTTTTAATGTTTGTGAGATTTGAATAATTAGTAAAGAAATTTATTGAATTATTATTCTTTTCATCATCATCATCATCATCATCATCATCATCATCGTCGTCGTCATTGTCATTGTCATTTTAGTTAAAGTTTATGGAATGGTTATTATTCTTTCTAAGTATAACAAATTGTCTATATGTGTTTACAAGAACAAAAAAAGATCAGTTGTTTAGTCATGACCTAAATGTATGCAATTTTAAATTTATGGTAAATTTTCATCCAAGAAAAACATATTTATAATATATGTTTCCTTCTTTAAAGAAAATTCCTAAAAGTGTAAATGTTTGGATTGAAGATAGTGATTTAGAACAACCAGAATGGTCAAAGGAATTTCCCGGAAGTGTTTTGTAAGTCCCTTTTCCCACTTCACTTAATTATTGCCAATAGAAATTTTAACTGATGATAATGATATTTTGTCATCTAGTTATCTTTTATTTTACGAAATATTTGAAAGTAGAAAAAGTAATGTTTCTTCACAAGTTTGGATTCTTAGAAAGTGGGATCCACATATTTACTTTCTTGATTTATTCTGGTAAGATTAAGATTTCAATCAATCAATGATTTTTTAAATTATAGATTTATATACATACATATATACAATAGTTATTATTCTCCACCTCAAGTTTTTATTTTAAATTTTTGTGACCAAAATAATTGGAGATCTAATTTGTCATTATCCTTATTCATTGGATTTCAGGTCAGTGATATATAATATAATATAATGTTAATTTTATTTATAAAAATCTAATCCCACCTTTCCCTCCTCATCAACAGTTAACAATGGCTGTGAAGATCCTTTTAGGATACAAACAAGACAAAGAATTGATATTTTTTCAAGTGTATAATGAGTATAACCATAAATTTGTATATAATCATTTATTTATACCTACAAGACAAGTTGCTACTCAAACTGGAGAATTCTAAGTTATAATATTGCCCAAATAAACATCATACTAATACTACTAATTTGTCAAAAAAAGGACTTGCTGTTTTACGAAATTGATCGCGTTGTATAAACCACTTTATGTATTATATTCCAAAAATATTTTTGCCCCTTTATAATAAATTCTTATTTATTTAAAATAATGTCTGTAATTTCAAAAAATACAGTTTCTAAAAAGTAGGTTTTGAGTGAAAGGCTATAGTTTTGAGTGTTGATGGTATCACGGTAGTAAGTAGCATTATAACTTTCCCATAAAACAAGAAATACACGTATTTAGAAATAAAAAGGTAATTTATTATTATTACTATTCTTTTTTAAAACCTTTTCTAGTATATTACATATTTCATTTGCCTTTTAAACTTGTAGTTAGAAGATTACAGAGATTTTTTATTTATTAATATGTGAAATTTATTGATTACTGTAATAGGTTGAATTGAGAATGTCATCAAGAAATCTACGTATTTACAATATGAGTGGATGTTTATAAATAAATCGCAGAACTCTTTTATTAACAAAAACTCTGATCAATCATAGCTCAAGTTTTGTAGAATAAAACTGCAGCGAGTTTTTGCTCTAGCACGTTTTTGTTATTGAGCCTATTTATTTTAATATATAACTTCCTGTATTAAAGACACTTGCCGTAAATGATTGGGCTAGTAGCTACCATTTCCGTAAATAGCTGTTGATAGCTATCATTTTCCGTAAATAATCACGGCTGTCGCAAATAACTACAACTGCTGCTAAATAGTTTTCAAATCATATTAGTCGCGAGAAAATTTTCTTGATGAATTCAATTGGTCGGTCGTTCATTTACAGTGATAAAAATAAAATTTACAATTATTTGCAGCGCTCATAACTATTTGCGACTACTTATCTATTTGCAAGCAGTCGTAGTTGTTTGCGGCAGCCGTAAATATTTTTTACCATCGCCGCAAATAACCAATTACGGCAGGCGTCTTTAATATAAATAGTGATGATGTTCGCCAAACCAACAATTCGTTGATGATGATGTTGATATCTCCAGGAAATTTTTTCTGGCGCGAATTTACATAATTATTGCACTACTTGTGTAAGTTTACATCAGGCCCCATAATATTATTACATTATATACGGGCGTAATATTATTGTTAAATTTCCGATGATATATATGGTCACAACCAAAATAATATTATAAGAGTTATTTGAATATTTCATCCTTCTCTATTGGCTTTTCAAAAAAACGAGTTAAACTATATAAACTCACTACTATTATTATGTCTCGGTGGGATCTCAAGTTTAACGATTTCAGCCAAATTACAAGCGCTCAACTTACTGAAATTTACGACTTTCTCAAGGCTAAACTTATAAAAGTGTGTAAATATAGTAACACCATAATTATCGAAATGATGGGACAGCGCTAACCAACCAAAGCATAAACAATGCTTTGGCGAAATCTGGAGCCTTAAAAATACACCTGTTTTCCGTCAACATAACTTTTTCCTTTATATAGTTATTTGATGATTCATCAATTTTACTATTTATATATTTATTTGATGATTCATCAATTTTACTATTTATATATTTATTCTTACTTTTTTGATCCATGTATTTTAAAATATATAAAGTAATTATGTAATGTAATTTTCTTTCTATACCACTCTGTCCTAAACTATTTGAAGCGTTTATCTGACTTGTTCCAACTTTTTTGTTCCCACGCTGATTTAGCTGTCCAAATCTTCAATACCTATATTTTGGCTTTGATCCCGTTACAGATTTAGCGGTCAAGAAATTTGCACACTCATAAATACATTTCTACCTCGGTTTAGAACTTTGACCCAAATATTGATAAAGAAGATTTTGAAGAATGTGAAAGTTTCGATAGTGAATGGTCCGACTCTTAGAGTTGGTTAGCAACGTGCAATGCCAACCGAGTTCCAATATCAGATTTTTTTTCGAAATATACCAAGATTGTAAATGATAACAGAGAATTTGACACCAAAGAAGTTTTCAAGTATTATAGAGATTCCTTCATCCCCTGTAAATTATGCATTCTTTTTTTCAAGATATCGCAAGTCCTCGATCGTTTTGGTCCGCTCCTCACAACCTTTATCATAGATTCTACGGCTCATGCCAGATATCGATCGTTAGTGTATAACACATGCAGCTTTATCCAAATGGACGTGGTGATTGAATAAATGAGTAATTGGAGATGTGTAACAATCTAGGATAAAATTGTTAAAGAATATTCGAATAAACCGCTTGGAATGGTAATTGTGATTACAGCGATTTTCTCATATGAAGGAAGATATTAATATTGATTGCAGAATTTGTAAATTCGTTGATATTAACATAGGAGAAAGTTTCTTTGTTAACGATGAATGAAAAAGATATTTATCAATTATTTATTAACAGCAACTATTAGAATTAGTAAAGGTTTGCTGGCGTGATGAAACGTTGGAATTTCAAAAGTATGTCGACTTCAACAAGAGATCTTGTCTCGTCGTTCAGCTGGTTCTGCTGGTTAACATCAGGTAAAATATTACTTTAATATTTAATTAAAAAATAAATCAATCAAAATATATTAAAGAGTTTTCAAAAGTAAAAAAATGATTGTAAATTTGTAACAGTAACAAATCTTAAAATCGATAATTATCTAGATATCTTATATGTGAAGAAGTGGAACAGATGATAGTTTTATCTCAACTATTGTAAAGAATTGTGATGATTTATTAAATACTACTCCTAAAAAGTTGTTGGTGGCAAAATCTGGTGCTGATCCTTTTATAATTAATAACTATATTTTTGAATATTTTTATTTCTTTAAGAATTCAAATGTGATTAAAGGCAAAATAAAAATAAATAACGAATAGATGTATGTGTAGATAGATGCTCTAGTAATAATAGAATGTAAGAAGTATATAAAATGAAGATGATAAACACGGTTTTTAAATTTTAAAATCTAATTTCTATAGTTCCTTTCTATAATATATATGAGATAATAGCATCAGTGCTAATTTATTTTAAAAGAAAAAATTGCTCAAAAATTTTTTTTACTAATAGAAACTATCATTATTATTATGAAAGAGAGTTTGAGTTCTGTGGCCGTGATCGATCTAATAATTTTTCATTTTGAAACAAACAATTCGTCAATCCACAGATATCATTAATGTTATTGAAATCAAATCGAACTTAATATGATACTTCTTTTTAAAAATATTAAATTAATAATAATAATACACCTACTTTTGTAATTTGGCTGCCGTTCATATGCATTTGGACTATTACTTCGACGATTTTGATGATGATGATGATGATGGTGATGATGGCGATGATGACTATGATTATGATTATTACTGCTATTATTACCATTTTCACCACTATTATTATTATCATCATCATCGCTACCATTACTGTCACTAGATTCATCCGATGATGATTCATCAAATGCGCGTGGTCTATGATAAATACAACAAACTACATGAAGTAACAATGAATTAACGTTTATGTAGTGAAAATATGTATGTGTATATAATGGATTTTTCCATAATAAAAACATAAATCAAATACCTTTAGATTTTTTTCTTCCTAATCCTTCATTATCAATTACATCTTCATCCCATTTTACTTTTCTGTCAGTTGGGCCACCACCACGAAGTTTTAAAGTTCCTACTGGATTTGAAGTATCACCATTTATTTCTTCTCTTCCTCCAATGCCATTGCTATTACCTGCTTCTATTTCTTCCAACTCTTCAGTATTAAGTGTCATTGTTCTTGATGCATGGGTTTCAGGTCGACCTAATTTTATTTTATATTTTTGTATCATTATTATTATTTATATAGATAGTGTAGGTAGTTATGAGAATAAAAATAATGCTAGTAAAAAGTTGCATTATTTGAGGTACATGCTGTTATAGATTACGTACTAGAAGGCATTGCAGTACGTGTACGATAACTTAATGAATCACCGGCTGCCATGTTGATTTTTTTCTAATATTATATAATTAATTAAAATTATCCTGATAAATAAATGGATTGTCAATAAAACATTTTTAATAAGGATCGGCGGCAGACCCTTGAATAGGACCCCGGCGCCTTTATTCTCTTCAACCACTGAAAATTTAGGACCTTGGTTATTAGCCTTAATTTCAAGTGGTTTGGGGATACACAAGTAGAATTCACCAAGACGATTCATGTTGAGACGAAGTTCGTAATTTATTTCAGGTATTTTTTCACTTGTTTTAATACCTTTGAGAAATGAATAATAACCACGATTTCTTCCCCATTGTGATCTATCCTTTTTAGATCTGAACTTCAATTTAAAGTTTTTTCCTTTTAAAGCAACATTGAACTTATAATTTTTTAAAAGGTCCATCATTGCTGCATCCCTAATGTCATGAGGTGTGTCAAGAACCCACTTAAGACTAATGTCTTTAAATTTTTCAGATTTATTATTGATATAATTTTCACGTAAATACTTTTTATTTTTGTTTTTTATATCACCATTAATTGTAGCTAGGCATTGGTTGTACATCCAGCGCACAATATCAATCCATTTTAATAGTTTGTTTTTTTCCTTCGAATTAGGGTAAAGCCTAATTTTATGAGTTTTTCCTGCTGGAGATTTTTTAGAAGAGGAGGCTGAAGATAAAGTAATAGCATCAAAAGAAGATGGTAAAGTTAAATTCTCTTTAGAAGAAATTCACAAAAAATGATTTTATATTCATGTCAAGAATTTTATGTAGATTGAATTCAGCAAAAAAAAAAGAAATTAGAAGAACCAAGTTTACAACCTATTATTTATGAAAGTAAGTAATAGATATTATAGGAAAAAAATGTACAACTATATCATAAAAGAATTATTTGCTTATTAAAAGGTATTATTTGTTTCAATTCATCTAGGAGAGGATGTAATTATTATTTATTTCAATTCATAATAATGACCATTATGTAAATTTTGAATTAATTGACCAGAAGATGAAAATTATCTCAAGATTGCAAGCACTGATGGTACTACTACATACTATTAAAAAGTATGTATAATTATATTAATTATTTTTTTTTCTTTTACCAAAGGACAAAAGTATATTTGGGGCATGCTGCAACAAAACCAGACAAAGTGAAATGTTGAAAATTGCTCAACACCACAACTGTAATGTGATTGCTTCTTACCTGTGATTTGTTTTCATCTCATTTTTTGGATCATTCAATATTCTCCGTGTAAGATAATTAATCTAAAGTGTTTGTATTCAATTTTATTTATCAGGGTCTTTAACTTATTAGAGATTCTTATAGCTGCTTTTTTGTAGATAAGTTTTTCTTTTCTAAGGTATGAGATGCATTTGCAATTTTGAATGCCTCCACTAGGTTCGTATCTCATATTGAATCCCTGGATTAAGATATCACAACTCCCTTTGATGAATATCCTTTTCTTTTAACTTACTCTTTGATAAATGTAACAATATTTTTGTCTTGCGTGAAACGATGCGTAAAAATATCCGTGTAACATTCAATTAATATTAACGTTAAATTATTTCACGTCGCCTTTAATATCTTATATTTATTATTATTAATTATGTCCTATAATCCAATCATCCAGATAGATTGATAAGAATATTAAGAGTATTATTATTTATATTATATTTATATTATTATTTACATTATCAATGTATGTAATTCGTATATAAGGATATCAATCTAAATTAATAAAGATAACTTTTGTAATTTTACAATAATTAATTATAATAATATTGTTATAGGATTTTACATGTAATATTTTATCACTGCAGAAAATAATCGTTCCCGATAGATCGTACATTCGTACATTCATATGCACGTACATACATATGCACGTACATACATATGTTGATGATTTTTCAAATATAGGAATACAAGCCATTGCAACAGATAAGGCACATAATGAAAATAAAGATTCTCTTGCAAAAGTAAGGATTGGAAGATGTGCTGACATGAAAGGGACTCTTGCAAAGACTGCAAATAAGTTTATCAATGGTGTGGCTTGGGACCCCTTGGAATTCTAGCTTGTCAAAAAAAAACAATTTACTGATAAGTTAATGAGCATTTAGATCATTGGCAAATGGGTGTAATTAATTGTTTATGGCTGGTTAGTTTATTGTATATGCAGAAAAATGGAAAAGTATAGTATATGGGTCTATACTAATAGATTATATTCCAATCATCAGGCCTAAAACTAAATTTTTATACCATGAACTGGCTAAGAGATGGCATATAATATAGGTTTGGAAAACTTGACAAATGTGCACTACCAGCAGAGGAGGATGATTGTAACATGTTTGAAGATGCATAATGAATCAGTTATTAGAAAATATTTCATGTTTGGAAGAACTTCACAATAAGAATAAAATTATTAAAGGATACATTTCAAAATTAGAAAATCAAAAAAAAAAAAGAAATATCAAGCTTAAAAAGTTTATATAGTGGCAAAGTGGGAAAATTAAAGGCAGGTTTGGTTAAATAGAGGGAGACATGTGATTTATTTATTGATAGAACAAGTAGATATGTAAAAATCATAAAAGAATTAGCAATGAAGATTGGATATTTGAAAATTTTCATAAAAAGATAACATGAATTAAATTATCAAATGTAAAGTATGTTTTTTGAAGAATCTATAACACATTCTTTTTCACTGTGTAAATCACCTTGTTACGTGTGAAAATTGTTCTAGTATGATTGATAAGTGTGTTGTGTGTTGAGTTCAGGTGGAGAGTACTTTCAGGATCTCTCTAAATTTATTTTATTTTATATTTTAATATTTTCATAAGATACTTACTGATTTAAAATAATGGTAGCAATAGTGTAAATAGGTAGTAGTATTAAAATGTATATAATTAATAAAAAATATTTGAAATTGTAAGAATTAAGAGAAACGTCAAGTTTATCATAGAAAATTAAAGAAACTAATTCACATACATATTAAATTCCCGATTATGTTTTTATTATTTTGATAAAATGGTAAGGTCCTCTCCAGTCATTAATTGAGACACTTAAAGAATCCCTGTTGTAAAAATCAACATCTTGGATAAAATGTATATCTTCTAAACATCTTGGTAATGTCTGATTCAAAGTTGTTATTATTTTATCACCATTAAATATATATTTCCAATGGGGTGCTTTTAATTTAATGTATTTTAACTTATCACAATTTTTGAATATTTCTAATAACCATTTATCCAACTCATTATTGTAAAAGATGGATAACTTTTCAAGATTTTGACAATGTTGACTAATTGATTGAAATAATTCTCCTAAACAATCTTTATCTTTTGGATCACCATTAATATGCAAAGCTTTTAAATTCTTTCCATTGACTTTAATAAAATCTGACATGTTTGATAGAAATGGCTGATAAGTGATATATAAATCTACTGTTTCGATATTTGGAAATGAAATAGATTTGATAGATTCCAAGACTTCTATTTCGTATTCAGATAATTTTAATTTTAAAATCTTTAAATTGCGAAATGTTCCTATTAAAGAATCCAAATCAGTTTCTCCTCGACCTTCATAATATACTATTGATTGTGAATGGATTGATAACACTTCTTTTAAATTGTCTGATAAAATTGGATTATTATAGCCACCATGTAGGATTAATTTTTTGATTCGCTTTTGAGCTTTAATTAATTGTGCTAATCTATAACTGGATTTCTCATTAAATGAACGGAAATATATTCTTAAAGTTTGAATATTTTTACAAGTGTTAGCTAATCTATAGAAAAATTCAGATTTATTTGAAAGATCGCAGGTTAATTCACCAAGTTTCTGGAACCACATATCAAATCCATGATGGTTAACCAACCAATTGCAATTATTTTCAAAGATTGCAAATTCTCTAATGGTTGAATATTCTAAAACAAATTCTAGTAATCTTTTTCTTAAACATTGGTTTGTGTCTACTATCTCATCTAATGCATCGTTAAAATCTTGGTCAAAATCCAAGTAGGTAGCAAACATACCATAATTGTGCATTGGTGGTTTATCCAGTAATAAACTAAGAGGTAATTCAATGCAGTTTCCTCTGAAAAAATCCTTATCTTGTGCCAATAAACAATTAATTAATATTTTGATGCTACCTTTACAATAAAATGGTTCTTTCCATAATTTTGGAATGCTAATGTAGTGCCATTGTTTATTAACTAAAGCACAAGAATATAACGTCCCATGATCACCTTCAATGCACTTGGATATTTCATTCAAAAGCTCAAATGGTAAAGTTGCTGGTAACATTTTTCTTTTTTTTAAGAAATTAATGCTCAAGTGAAGAATTATACTTCAATTTAAATTAATTACATTATTATGAATAAATTCATGACCAATTATTTCATAATCACATTGATATTTTACATTATTTTTTTAATTATGTAATAGTGATCAAAAACTAACCTAATTATTATACCCTTATTCATCGGTGTCACATTTGCTATAATAATACTGATCATCAAAGTTTAATATAAAAATGAATCATAGTTAATTGATCAGCCATGCGGACAATTTCCGAAAGGTTATACCTTTATCCCTCAGTTCGTAGGGATAGAGCCTTATCAATCTTATCGATCTTTGGGTATCGGTCGGATAATTCACTCAAGATCTACGGACCAGGTGATCAGAGATATATCCGTGCATTATATTTATTCCTCGCCAGGCTAAAGCTGTATCTCTCTGAACACAGGGATAAAGGTCAGATCTACCCGGAAATCGTCCGTATATGGTGCGAAATTAATACAATAGATTCAATGATCAACAATCAATTGTTGAATCTATTATAGAAATTGCCAAGCATGAATGCAAAAACATATACAATGATGTGTCATTAACTTAATTGATGATGAGGAACGGTTTAGTTTAGATAACCTTTTAGAGTAGTTATATTTTCTATTTGTAATACATATTCTTGTTCGAATCATTCATAATACACTCAATCTTTATTCGAATTATTCAAATAAACTTTAATATTAATAAATAAAAACAAACAATTCAAATAAATCTTATTTGAATAGAAGCCCTAATTCTAGCTAATTCTAGTTCTGAATGAACGGTTTTCTAAATTAAACGTTCTCGTTTTGTGATAATGATAATTAACTTAAAAAAAAAGCTATTCAAATGTTCTATGGCAGTAGAAGCTGTTTATGGGACGAGGCGTTTAAAATATGTCACTGCCATCAATTTAGCATCGTCAGCGATTAATTATTCAATAGCGAAATCAAAAAAAGTCATTGATATTGATAACCAACCACCTCTTAAGCTCTGATGGATATAATAAATTAATCAAATAGCAGAAAAATTTAGCTGATGAATCTTTGGCCATTTCCAAAAAACTTACTATTTTTGGCATTTGATAATGAACAAAAGGACAAAAAAATTATTTGGGTTGTAATACAGTAGTAACTTTTCATACAACTAATAGTTTAATTTTGATGCCACTGACCAAACACAGGCCATTGATGCTACCCATGCATCGCATTCAGATCAACAAACAAGTAAGATCTATATTACCTTAGTCCACGCAAAGTCCATTTATTTGGCATTCAAGATGAAGCAGCAAAAGAACAAATTAATTATGCTCATGATGAAGGTGAAATTATTACTCGTGATAATCCAAATTGACAAAATAAAAATAAGTTGTTATTTTGAGTGTTCTGATTGGACTGCTTGCTGACTGTAATATTTACCCTATATGGTAACTGTCCATCGTGCTAATTGTGCTAATCCATCATCAAAAACAACTTTAACTTTTTTCTCTGCTTTTTTTTTAAAAAAACAATAATGTCTTTAAGTGTTACAAGAGAAAGACGTGCAAATGCTGGCAATCGGTAATAAATTACTTGAGAGGAGTTTTTTTTTTATAATAATAATATTAAATTTATGCAATTGTTGAAAATCAGGTATCAAAATCAAAGAGAAGATATTGAAATGGAAGTTGGTGATGAATACGGAGATACATTCAAAGAGCTTTCAGACGATGAAGAGTTTATGGAGTCAAGTGACTTATCAATTTATATATATATAATATACAAATTCAATAACATACCAATGGTAATTTTTTAAGAAAATTCAATTTTAATCTTATGGAATAAAATTCTTTTTTATAGATGATGACGAAGATACTGTTGATTCTGATTTTAATACAGAGGAGGATGACGATGATTACGATGATGACAATGGCGAAGCCGAAAAATTGATCTTAACAGAAGAAAAACGCGAAGAAAAAGAAAAGAAGGTAAGCTAGTTAGTTAGTTAGTTAATCAATACAATATGAAATTAACATTAATTAATTAAAATTAATTAAAACAATATAATCAACTAATATTAGATTTGATTTGATTTTAATGATAACAATATTATGATTAATTTATAGAAAAAGGCAAGAAGGGCTCTTATTTTACCACCTTTATCAATAAATCTTCGTAAAAGAAAAACAGATCAATTGTCCAACGAGGATATTTGCAACAATTCTGTAAAACACTTTTCTTCTCAAAAGAAAGATCTCACTCAATCAAAAAGAAGAAATCCCAAATCAATTAACAATAACAACTTGGAAGATGATAAACAACAATTGGGTAAGACTATCATTACATAAATAAATCAACTATATAACAAGTTAATTGCACAATTATGATTAAATTATTCATTATCAATCGATTTCTCATTAGTTCCAATTTTACCTGGAGTTAGGTCATCATCTAGATCATACACATTGCAAAGTAAACAGTTATTGGCTGAAAAATTAAAAGAATACGAAGAAAAAAAAGTATTTTAAAATTTTGTTTTTATTTAAATTTATTTTTGTTTAACAACAACAACAGCGACAACAATAATTATTATTGTCATTATTATTATTTAAAAGTTGTTATATCCAAAACGAGAAAAAATTGTATCAGAAATATTAACGCAAGAAGAACTCCTTGCAGAAGCAAAAGAAACTGAAGCACGAAATTTGGCATCGCTCAAAGAATTTGAATTAAGAGAAAATAAAATAAAAAACACCGTTAGACGAAGCAATAGAGTATCTCTTGAAAATCAACCAAGGGTCATTGAATATTCTTTTATAAAAGAAATAAATCATAATGACGACGACGATGACGATGACAACGGTGATGATGGTGATGGTGATGATAGTCTACAAAAACCATCATCATCTCCAAAATTGATAATAGAAGTTTCAAATAATAATAATAATAATAATAATAATAAAGAATTAATAAATAGTAGCAGTGTTATTGATAACAATATTGTTATTTTGGATGATGATGATGATGACAAAAATAATAGCAGCAGTAGCGGTGACACAATTGACAATAAACAACCGATCCAAGACAATCGAATATTTAAAAAAGTGGTTATTTTTAAAAATCTTTCACATGCTCAAGAATTTGAATTATTTCGAGATTGGAGGAAAAAAACTCAAAGTAATTCATCTATTTAATTTACCAATTTATTCTTATTCATTAATTTTATTAAATTTTTTTGTACACCAACCCTAACAATAGTAGACATTTTCTTTTTTTAGAAGCAAAAAAGATAATCTGTCCAATTACAGGACTTCCAGCAAAATATAAAGATCCAAGATCTGGCATACCATATGCAAATATGGAGGCTTATTTTAAAATTCAAGAATTAATCAATCATCAATATACTTGGTATGGTAAAGGTTGTGTTTATTTGAATGACGCTGATCAATCTCCTGCTAAAGGCGTTCCTGATAAATTTGGCAAATAGTTTGTTTGATGATTTTTTTAATAAAATCTTAAATAAAATGATTTACAATTTATTAAAATAACGACCTCGAATAATTATAATTGGTATTAAATAAATTGATATTTGACACCTTTGGGCCGAAAACGGCCTCGTTCTTTCCCAAAATGGACCTTTTTTAACAAGGTTTTCTTCGTACAGATGGTTCTCTTATCCGAGGTCAAATTAAACAATTTTAATCATACAAGGAAGGGAGTAAGAAATCGGTTTTTTTGCCTTATGGCCACTTTTTTGAATTACGAAACACGAAAGGATTGATATTAAATATTATGTATTAATTTGAGAATAGTGGAAGTTTGTAATATTTCTCATCAATATCCATGCTAATGTTATTATTTCATTTATTTCATTAAATAAAAACAACATGACGATAATTTTTTTTCGATGTATTAATATATGAAAGATGAAATTTTCATACTTGTGATCTTCTGTTAAATTCTAGTTTTAATTTATATGTTACCCTACTCAGAACTCACATCAGATATTAGAGTCTTCATAATTAGAACCTGAGTCTGTATTGTTATCAAAACTGTCCGAACTATCATAGAAGCTAGGTGGTGATGGTGGTGATTCTTTAAACCAGGGCATTTGGCATCTACCCTAACCAGATTAAGGTTTCCGGCCGAAACTCTCTTTATTATTATTATTAGTAGTAACCGAAATTGCCAAAACACTGGGCAAAAATTACTTTTTAGAAGCCCAAATTACCCAAACTAGCTTGGGCTTTGAGAAAACAGTTTGGATCCGGAAACCTTAAACCAGATGCTGTATAAATGCGAAATTAGTACATTCGCCAATCGCCCGTTCCGGATTAGGTGAAATTAATTCTGCCCAATGACTGAAATCCGATAAATTTCCGAAATGCCGAAGGCGAAATTAATTTCACCTTCGGTAGTTGGAGTTCTGTCATAAAGAAGCTCTCTTATTGACTGTTAATCGTGTAATAAATATATATCATCATTGCATAAACAATAAGTAGTAAATAAAATTAGCAACGAAACTATTTTGGAGGAGAAACGAAAGTCGAAACCTAAAAACTTGTTTTTGCTTAAACGAACTAATTTTATACAAGTTTAACAATGTGACAAGAGTTTACAAACTTTTTTATTGTTTATTTACATTTATGACTCACACTGATATTCGGACTTATTCCGCCATTTCGGAAATAACTAATAAATGCTAATATTTCGGAACCAAAAATTGGATTTCGCCCACAGCATTAGAACTGATGGATTTCTTGATTCCATATTAATATTTATGGTGGAAGTTATGTGAAGAATTCGTGGTTCACTTTTATGTCTTTCAAGGAACCAATGTTGGTTATATGTTGGACACCATATTGCAATTTATTGACAACTCGATTTTAAAGACAATAATTTTAAAGAAGATGACAACGATTCTGAAGGAGACGACGATTCTGAAGATTTTGAAGACGATGATAATTCTGAAGAAGAAAATACCCGAAAATTTAGCGTAAAATGTCTACAACGGAGATCATTCCATTAGAGTTTAAAGGTATCATTTCATTAATTTCATTAGTTTCTCTCTTCAGATCTTCTTTATATTTTTCGTGAAGAGATTTGTCATTTTCCAAATATAAAACCCACTTAGTCTTAATAATAGTTTATAATTTCTCTTATAAATAAAACCTGGATTTCCAACAACCTTGTCTTCTTTTGAAGTCTGCTTGAACATTTCTATTGGTTCCATGTTCCATGAAGTTGTAATGATATGGAGATTATCAAATACATTATTCTTTACCCAGGTCTTGTTTCTATAATGTTTTCTTCTCTTCTTTTTCTTGTTTCCTTGGTGTTGTTTTTTTCTTTTTGGAAAAGCAACTTATTTTTTGACAGATGAAGAAAGGTGTTATTTGGTATGATGTTTGATTCTGAAGACGTATTAATAATTAACCAGAACACAATAAACATTTGTCGTGTCACGATCTCCTACTAAAACCCGCAAGTCGTGCTACCTCCGTGTAGGTTTCTCGCCGATTGTCTCCTTTTGCGTCTAGCCGCGCCTGGTCTTTTCGGTTTTTGGCGCGATCAACGTTTCACCATATTTAGCAAAAATTGTGTCGTCAAACATGGCACACATTTTTTATTGTGTTATCTAGACATGTTAAAACTTGGCAATTAGGTTTTGTTATCAATTGAAAATTTTTTATTTTGACTTTTAAAGCTAATAAAATTATTAATTGTAAACAAAACATTATAAAACTCAAGTATATTATGGGAATCATTATGAAAATTGACTTTTGCTTAATACACAAAAGTGATTGTAATAATAAAATTTTGAGTTATTTTTTATTTCACTTTGTTCAATTATTTCCAGCAATCTGCAAAATTGCCAATTAACAATGGCATTTTTTTGTACAACAATAGTCTTTGAATTATATTTTTGTAATGATAATAAATCTATTTCTAACAATGAATTCATACTAATCCCAAGCATAATAAATTTTCTCTTATTTTGTATTTGTTTATTTTTTATTTCTTTTCTTTTCTTTTAGTGAGGTAATATTAAGGCTCCGCATGAGCCAGCTCGCAAGCCAGCTTACAAGCTGAATAAGTTTTTTGGCTTGCAAGCCAGCTCATGAGGAGCTTTAGGTAATATTTAATGAATTTTATTTAGTAGTTTTTAGATATGTGCCTGACTTGGAAGTAAAGAGGAAAACAGCTAGAAGGACACCTGCCAAGAAACATGATCAGGATATCTAAAGATATTATTTAGTATTTCTTTTTGTAAGGAATTGTTTGATGATAGTGAAAGATAGTTTTGAGAGTAAAGCATAAATATGCATTCATGGAAATTGTTGT